AAGATGACCCACCAATGACGTGGTATAACATTACACAAGATGATTTTGCTGTCACTGATTATGAATTTTTTTTTCCCTGTTAGAGCAGTTTTTGTTTGAGTGTCAAAAAGTAATTGGTTAAATTGCATCACTATGCCATGCCATTGGCTTAAAAAAACTCACGTCCCTTTTCATCCAATCAGAAGTAAGACCCTCGCATGCTTTTTCTTGCGCTATGTATTAGCTACATGTACCGTACATGTATGCATTTACTTTGAGTTTTGATCTGGTCATTGGATTGTCTGTGTCCTTTGTGATTGGCTAGTCAGAGTGATTACTTTCAATTGGCTTTGGGTTTACAACACTCAATAAAAAACCGTTCTAACCAGCCACAAGTTTGTCTAAAGTTGCAATCTGTTTATTTTTGCTTTGTAACTTAAAATAGGTAGCAGCACAGCATGTATCGTGGTACTAGACAGGAAAAGTCAGATGCTTCATTCAGCAAATCTTGGTGATTCTGGGTTTCTGGTGATTCGACAAGGTTCAGTGGTGCACCAGTCCTCTGAAATGCAGCACTATTTCAACACGCCTTATCAGCTGGCGATTCCACCCCCGGGACAAGCTGGAACTGTTATAGAGGATAGGTATGTATGGATCAGGGAAGGGTTGGTGTCAAGTGAGAGTCAGGGAATACTTCACAGAGTTCTTAGCTTGTGGCTTTAATCATGATTTTGTATTGTGTAGTTCCAGAAAATATCCATATCTCCCCCATGGCAGGGAATTTTTCTAAGTCCCCCCACCCCTCTGGAAATTTCAATTGAGCTTCATTTTGGTCTTACAGAACGCTCCATCCCCTAGGAAATTCCAATCCCTTCTGTGGTGGGGAGTATGGATATTTTCTGGAACTGAACATTATTGCTTTTTAACTCTTTTAATTTTAGAAGATAAATATGTTTAAATAAAGTAGAATTTTAACTAAGTTTATCCCTATTATTTTTTCCCCTTCACCTTCTTTCTTTTAGCTTTTTAATAATCTTGAATGTAAAGTGCCATGGGCACTTAGTGGATTTGGTGCTAGCTACATAAATAGTTTTATTTGTTTATTATTATTAGCTGCATAAATATTATTATTATTATTATCATCATT